AAATAAGCTGAAACCTCGCGAACTTAATCGAAAAGGGGCGGAGAAAGAAGGTACAGATATGGATGCTTTCGTAAATACGGCGGTACCACCACCCCCGGTAAAACCTGAAGTGAAACAAGACAACAAGGATCTCTTGACACCGAAGGACAATAATAAAGAAGCAAACCGTGAGATCACGAAAGATAACAAGGAGAAGGATAATTATGAACCGAAAAAAGAGAAGGAAATTACCTCCGTTCATGCAAAGGCGGAGAAACAAACAATTCCTGTGACGCCGGATAGCCCGAAAGAAAATATTCTCATACAAGCACCCGTTATAGAAAAGTTATCAAGCAATAAAGAAAGTATAAAGGAATCTTCCCCTAAGATAGAGGATAGTAATAAATCGAATGCATGTAATATGCAAACAAAATCAGTTCCTAATGACGTTGTTGATCATGTGACTGTTAAAGAAGAACCCGACGTAGAAGCAATAGTGGCACAAAAGAATGAAGAGAACTCGAAGGTTTCGGTAATTCGAACAGCTAGCGAGGAGAAGCTGCAGGCATCTCCAGTTATTGAAAAAACAGCCGAAAACGAGACTCCGGCACAGACTGAAACCACACCTGTTACGAATCAGATACAATTGAAATATAAGTATAAAGAGGATCAATGGAGTCCTATAAATCAAAACGGCAAAAGGGTTTATGGACGTGATTTTTTAATGAAATTACAGGACGATCCTAATAGTAAAATCAAACCATCTAATTTACCAGATTTAGATGTCGTTTTGAAAGATAGTTCTAAGGTATTGCATAAAAAAAAAGTTTATTTTCATTTGTTATTATTATCATAAGTGCATATATAATATAAATAACGTATCTTTTGTAGACAAGAAATAACGTTGAACTTAGGCCATTTAAAGATACAAATATGAATAGACACGATGTTCTATTCCCTGGATTCATAAAACCGACTCTAAATGCACGAGTGGTAAGTTCGGAAAATTTTTAACACATAAAACTTGATATAACATGATGATTTAACAAGTGATGCATTTGAAAGTGAAAGTAGTGGACTGAAATTTTCTTTGAAAGAAAATTTTTTTTCCTGACATCTGTATTTTATCATATAGTAAATCACTGTAATTCTTTGTATATTCATACAATGTATTTATTTTTATTTAGCCACCATTAAATCGTAACAAAAGTCATTCAGGAAAATCATCGAAACCAACGAAGCCAAATGTTATTCATGTATCATTATCTCTAAGAGAAGATGTAAAATTGAGAGAAACTGAAAATGCATGGAGGCCGACAAGATTAAAGACTATAAATCTTAGCGAAGAGGAGGCCAAAACAGAAGCTCTTTACAAGAGAGTTAGAAGTGTATTAAATAAACTCACACCTCAGAAATTTAATACTTTAGTTGATCAGGTTCGTTCGTTGACAGTCGATACGCCGGAACGACTGCAAGGTGTTATCAATTTAGTCTTCGAGAAGGTAAATTACCTTCCTTAATGATTACCATATAATTTTTAATTATGTAACATTTTATTGAATGTGGATTTATATTTTCTGTCTATTGTTCTTTTTTTTTTGTTTTCTTTACATTTGTAATTCGTGTTTCTTTAATTGTTACCATTATTATCTTGTTTCCTATACTATTATCTTTTTTCCTTTTTTTCTCGAAGCATCAGCTCTTTTTTCCCTTAGTTTCTTTATTATTTAGTTAATATTTCATATATACAGTTCCTTTTTTCTTGTTTTTTCTTTTCTTTTTAATGAAAACTTAACAAAATTAATTGTACAACTTTTAGGCTGTGGATGAACCAAGCTTTTCTGTAGCATATGCATTAATGTGTAAAGAACTTGCTGTGATGGAAGTCTCAGGTTCAGATAAAAGTTCAGACAAACAAGAGTGCTCATATACTTTCAAAAAACTTATCATCAATCGATGTCAAAAGGAATTTGAAAGAAACCCAGTGAACGAAGTAGCAAGAGCTGCTAAATTTAAAGAAATAGATGAATGTACTGATCCTGTAAGTCCAATTAATTAATTTTTTTGTATTATTACATGTTTTTTAAATTTATGTTTTCATTATCAATAAATTTTATTATGCTTCAAATTAGGAAAAGAAAAAAGATTTGCAGTTACAATTCGAAGATGAAGAACGTAAAACACGTATAAAATCAGTAGGAAATATACGGTAAGTAATACAAAATGTATAATTGTCCTGTAAAAGTATTACGTTACTTTAATGTATATCTCGTAATGTATGTTGTAATTCTTATTGGCATTTTATTCTGCAGGTTTATTGGTGAATTGTACAAACAGGGTATGTTAACAACTAAAATCATGCATCGTTGCATAAAGGAGTTGTTAATTCAGAGTGATGAAGATAGTCTCGAATGTTTGTGCAAGTTATTAACAACAGTCGGAAAAGATTTAGAATCAAAAGTGTCTCTAGAAGTAAGAAGTTTGTTTTATTTCATGATCAACAAAAAATATTTAATTTTTTATTAAAAAGAGAAAACTAATAAATTACTCTTACATATAAAGTTTTGTATTATATCTTTTTTTTATTAGGAAATGCAAGATTATTTCAATAAAATGCAAGATATTGTTGCACGAAAAGGACATGGAAAAATTAGCTCTAGAATTCGTTTTATGCTACAAGATGTAATAGATTTAAGAGCGAATAACTGGATTCCAAGAAGAGATGACAGTAATCCTAAAACAATAGATCAAATTCAAAAAGAAGCCGATTCTGAGAGATTAGATAGCCAATTAAGTAATACTCCTTTAAATACACCACGAAAAGATGAACGTACTAATGATAGAAAAAGAAATCGTAAGTATTCAATCAATGCAATGTCTAAATTAATAATTTAAAAATTAAATTTTAACATCAATACAAAGATGTAAACATAAAATTATAAATACATATTTTATATATATATATTTTAAATGATGATATAACACATTTTTTTGCCAGACTAGAGTTTCTGATAAAAATGATTAGTAGTGTATTCTGACAATTTTTACCTCATTTTTCGCATTATATTTCTTATAAATAAGTATATGTGTAGTTAATAATAATGTTTTATAATCTAGGTGGTGTTGGTCCAACTGATGATGGTGGTTGGAGCCAACCTGTTGTAAGAACGAGACAACCATATTCTGTTGAAACGGCTAAACTTAAAAATAAACCTGTAAATTTAATTTTTTGAATCAGTTAAAAGTTTATACGAATGTAGCGAAAATGAAAAACAGTAATATAAATATTTATTATTTTTATTGTAGCCTCCAATGGATGATCTGCAATTAGGAAGCAGGAATATGTATATGTGGAAGACACCTTCGAGTTGTGGCTCAAAGGCGATAAATTCAAATAAATTTGCATGTTTAGAAAATGTATCGAATTTAGATCAAGATAAACGAATGACATCTCCTCAACTCTCTGGGTAAATTTTTTTAATAATTAAATATTATATGTCTTATCACATGATATTTAACCTGTTCGCTGCAGATATAAAAACTATATTCAACGAAAATAAATAATTTCTGGTACGCAGCAAACATGTTAATAAAATAGTAGTGATGATATATAGATGCTAGGCTAGAGTTTCTGATATGATATGATATTTAAAATATTCTGAATATTTTTTTAATAATCATGTATAGAGTATACACAATAATTTAAATATTTAATATTATAAATTTATTCATTTTTAGATCAAGGTCCACTGGTCCAAGAGAGTATGGTCGTGACTACAAACCTTCCTATGGTATGTCCATTATATATTGGATGATAAAAAAAATTAAATAATTTAAGTTTTAAAAAAAAATTATAAAATACATGATGACAAATTTTACATTTTTGAAAAGTGAAACTTAATGTTGTTAGCCAAAAGGATTCTGATATTTTAAAAAATATGTTTCATTTATATATATATATATATACATATTATTTAAATAAATGGGAATTTTATATTCTTTTTATTGCAGATGGTAGGAGTTCACGCAATGGTAGTCACCAATTAAGCAGTTCGTCGTCGGGTAGAGAAAGCTCATTATTAGATAATTCACAGAGTCAAGGCGTTTCTATGCCATCATCATTAAAATCTTCGCAACCTACATCGAGTAGTCACAAACCTCAGATGTCGGAAGAAGATTTTATGAAAACATTAAATAAAATAATGAAAGATTATCTTAAAAATCCTATCATTGAAGTAAGTTTCTACTAGATTTATAATCCTATATTTATATAAATTATTATATCATGGTATTAATTGATATTTTTTCTTGATAATGTCATAACTGTTAACATAATTGGCACACTCCTTAGATCCATCTCTGCTTTTTAGGAGATGCTTGAGTCATTAGTGTGCTAAATTACGCAATACCTTCCTTTTGATCTTTTTAAACAATATTATTAGGCGTAATGCTACATTTATATAAATCATTATATACATTGTTTAAGTGATTAACAGGAGGACATCTTATTAGAAAAATATATTTGAATCAGATTACAATTTATTTAGTGAATTTCTTATTTAATTTAAACTTCTTATTTTACAGAAAGCTTCATTGGCTATTCAACAGAACTTTGATAATGCATTAACAAAATTCATACGTGAATTGATTAACTTTGTCCTTGAAAAATCACCTCTCGACAGAGAATACATATCCTTTCTTTTGTCGCATTTAATCACTCAAAAAATTTTACCTATCTCACATTTGAGGAATGGGTAAGTTTTTAATAAATGTTTATATATGTATATGTATATATATATTAAATAAGATTAAATTTTTATTTAAAATCTACGTATAAATGATGAATATTTTATCAGAGAAAAATATGTTGAATAATGTATAAAGCCAAAAGGATACTGATTAAAAATTTCAGTACAAAAATTCTAAATAAGTTTGTTTCGATAAAACTAATTACAATTTTTTTTTCAGATTTATTGAAATATTGGATCTAGTTGATGATCTTGTACTCGACATACCTAAAGTTTGGTTATATTTGGCAGAAATATTATGTAAGTAAATAACTATATTTTTTATGCTTAAAAATGACAATCAATTATGATGATCATTCTTCACCGTAGAATTTCCATGCGGGAATTTTAGCTCAACAGGACTGACAACAATTATGTAAAATATTACTTTTATGTTAAAGAAAAATTAGTATTATGATATTTCTTTCTTTTTACAGCACATCCAATAAAAGAGGAGATAGTCCCCCTAACTGAACTAAAACCTATATTTGATAGCTTAAGAAATCGAGGATATGTAGGAAAATTCCTTGGGGAACTGTTATCGAAACTATCCCGTGATAAAGGACCTAAATGGATTGCAGATAAATGGGACCAAAGTGGACTTCAGTTGAGTAACATAATTGATACAGAACTTGAAGAAGTTGACAAAATCATTAAAGATTATGTAAGTTGATGTTAAAATTAATAAATATTTTACTTTTGATTAAGAATAATATTATGACTAATAATATTATTATTTTTAGAACTTGGAGTTCTGCACTAGTGATTATAATGGTGCCAAAAGTTCAAATAGTAATCAGCTTACGATGCAACAAATTCATGATGAGCTCAGGAGACTCATGAAGGACAGTAGTTTCGATGTAATTTGCGACTGGATAATGGTAAATATTTTCAATTTAATTACGTATGTATATTATAAGTTTTAAAAAATATTGAACAATTAATGCATTTTATTTTTTGTTACAGGGAAACGTAGGTAATCGAGTCAAGGAGCCTGAATTTATTCGAGTATTAACGACTGCCATTTTGGAGACATCAATGGGTATGTTTTGTTTTTTTATTTATATTTCTTAATATTTTTTAACTATATTTTTTAAAATTTTTTACCTATAACTTTTTTGTAATTATTATTTTTAGAACCAGTCAATAACAGGTGGAATCTCAAAAACAGAGTTTTTGTTCATTTGCAACAATTAATTCGCCGATTCGTCGATACAAATGAATCTTTAGAATTACAATGTCTTTATGCAATTCAACTTCATTTGCATAAGTTACAATATCCACACGGTATGAAAATAAAATTAATGTTTTCTGTAATTTATAAGTTAATAAAAATTAGTTACATTCATCAAAAATTTTTATCTACAGGGATTCTCTTTTGTATTATGACAAATTTGTCCGACTACAATATAATTTCAAGTGATGCGTTCCTGACATGGAAAAAGAGTCCTGAACCAGCTCAACGTGAATGGCATGGAGTTGCGACAATGGCGCTTACTTCATTTTTCACTGGTCTACAAGAAGCTGATGATGCTTCCAGTGTAGAAGATGTATCAACCAGCGCGAGCCAAGATCGTTGTTGACGATATCCTGATCGAGTACATTATCGTCTGTTAAAAAGACGTAAATATATGTATCCTCGTTAGAAAAAACTACGCGAAGTGAGATCAAATTGCTGTTTTTTTTAAAGCAAAACGTCGTACATTGAAGAAAAAGAACAATTGGAGTGATAGTAGTGCGCGGGTGTATGTAATATAATCTATAAAACTTCAAAAAACAAGAAGTGAAAGATAATAAAGGTTGTCATATTAAAATGGACATAATGGCTGAAACCGATATACATAATGAAGATAAAGATTAATTAATAATTATGATACAAAAGTAAATGCAAGATAATTATTATATATAATTCATTGAAATGGTTTAAAGTTTAAATAAAGCAAAAAAAAAACAAACTCGAAAACATTATCGTATTTCTTATGTCTTACGAAATGTCACTACAGCTTGTCAATCGCCCAATAAATTTGAAGTTATGTATAATTTATTTTTACGCTTTACATTAAATCAGCCGATAAAAAAATCAGCCGATTTGCTATGTGAGTTAGACAACAAATTACAATTCACAAATGTGTATAAGTAGGTCAATTTTAAGTAAATTATATTTGAGGCATATGCAAAACAAAACTATTGATAACCAAGTCTGATGCAAGGGCAACGGTTCTTCCTATTATTGTAACAAATATAACAGAATTACTAATTTATATCTTGTGAATTTACAATGTATTCAAATGTATGGAGAAAAATACACATTCATAATTAAAAATGGATGAAAGTGAGGAGTGAACATAACATTACGAACTATTGTTTCGTAATTCAAAATATGTTGAAATTAGGAAACGAAAGGATACAAATGGTGTGCATATTAAGGCGCTACTATTTTTTAACACTAGTTATTTATGAACATTGAGAGAGCAGATTATAGTGCGTGATGGAATGTCTGCATGAATTCAGGTGGCAGGTGCCGTAGCAAATTGTATAAAATTATACTAATTTAAAATACAGTGTGAAAAATACATTTCTTTTGGATATATATATATATATATATATATA